CTTGTGACTTCACTACAAATGTTTGAGTGACTACATGAATATTCTCTCTGTAAAGTCAGCATTACAACTGCCAAGTTTTGCTCCATATACTGGATCAACTGTTCTACCTACCTACCCCAGTTACCTGCTTATTGTCAAATTAATGCTTAACTGTTATTATAATTCCAAAACCCAAAAGCATGAAAGCTGCAACAAACTTGTTGTGGTAGTTCCTTGCTGTTATTCACTCTACATGTGTTGAAACCCCCTCTTTCCTTTGGTATAAAACACACAAAGTTTCCTGCCTGAAACCCACTCTTTACGCGAAGGTTTATCCTAGTGTTACTCGCATTATCAAAAAGCTGCGCATTACTGCTTCCGTTACAAACCTACCACGCTCTGGGAGATCACAAAAGCTGTCTGTAGAAGCGAAAGCCTTTATAGATCAGCAAATGCAAAATAACAATGAGATGACAAGTGCCCAGATCAAGAAGAAGCTGGTAAAACAGGGAGTGGCTGTTAGTTCATCAACTGTGCGAAGATAATGCAAGCAGCAAGACCTGCCTCTACAGTGGACTAGATACTGCCAGCTTATATGAGATGTCAACAAAATCAAGCGGTTGGAGTACACACAATGAGTCCAGGAGAGAGGCAACACTTTCCACAACGTGATTTTAAGTGACAAGTGCTCCATTTCCCTTGCATATTACCAGCACACACCTTACTGGAAGTTCAATGAGCCGACCAAGCGAAAGCCCAAGGCAAAGCACTCACTAAAGGTTCACGTCTAGGGAGGAATTAGCAGACATGGTGCCACAGAGATTTGCATCTTTGATGGTATCACGGATGCTGATCTATTAATTTTTGTAACATCCTAGAGACCACGCTTGTTCCATTCATCAGAGAAAGACTTCCTGATCACCGTTCTATCCAAGATAACAACCCGACGCACACATCCAGACAAGCCTAGACCTTCTTCAAGGAACACAACATTAACTGGTGGTGTACTCTCCCTGGAGAGTCCTGACTTTAACCCAATCGAGGACATGTGACATGAGCTTAAGTTCTTCTTGGAATCGAAGGTGAAACCACTCAACAAGCAAGAACTGGTGGATGGGATCAAGAAGTTCTGGGAAAGGAGAATCACACGGGAGAAAAGTGCAAAATATATAAATCCCGTTCTGCACAAGGTGATTCCAGCTGTGGTGGAGGCTGAAGGTGCTGCAACCAAATATTAAACAACGGCTCTTTTAGCAGCCACCAACCCCTGCTTCGTCGAATGCAGATTCGTTATTGCACTGTAGGTTGCTAAAATTGGCTTTGTTAGGAGCCACAACATCTCATAAGAGTCAATAACCAACGCGAATCCTTGATTTACTACAAATGTTCTAAATAGACACAAGATTCCATTACGCTAGTTATATTTTTGAATTAAATTGAGTAACCCACATAGCTACATATTTCTGAATGCCTCCCTTAAAACTTTTCCACTTTTTATGGCTGCACATGAAACACTTTAACAAGAAATCAATCCTGTAAACTTGAAGTTATTTTTTACCAAAAGGCTGTTACTTCCATTGAAACGTTATAAAGAGAAATTGAATGTTTTTTGTCCGAGTGGAAGAGAGGGGGGTTTAACAATTTTGGAATTCAGAGGGCATTGGGGGCAGAGCATTTTGGAAT